GCAGAACTTTTAGTCCTCTTCAATCCAGATTGGAAAGTGAAAAAAAAAAAAAAAAAAAAAAATCCGTTGCCTTGTTTTGCAACGAAGTGTAACAGTTTCAATATTCGAGATTTTGCGGAGCGAAAGAAAGGGGAGAACCTCCCAATCTTTTCGTACTGTATATGTGTATTGGGAAAAAAAAAAAAAAAAAAAAAAAAATTCTTTGATTATTCGAATCAAAGTAATTTTTTAAAATAAAGTACTTTCCCTTATTTAAGCCATTCCGAATATTATTCCTTAAAGCTAATCTGTGTTGTAAAACACAACCATTTCTGGAAAGTTACTATACTTCAGCAGTTACTGCAACTATGTTATCATAAACATTCATACATATAATCAATATATAAATAATGATCATAATAACACGAATATGAACTGACGCGGAACGAATGAAACGCAAATTATTAAGATCTTGATAGAAATTCAAACATGTGTAGTGTTTGGGTGGGAGGAAAAGAATGCCGAATGTTGCGGAATTTTCTACTGCTAGGACGGGCACCTGTCTCTACTCTTCGTGCACACCAAAAGTTATGTTAATGCAGAGAAAGTGGGAAAAGCTATTTCCGGGAGTATGACTCACCATTTGACATTCCACATTAGGAAGAAAAGTTGTTTATTTAGTTTCGGCTTTGATACAGCGTTCATTAAAAAAAAAAAGCACTAAAAGCAAAAAATAAGGGCTTTAAAGAAAACGTAAGCACCTAAGGGCCTTTATATTTTAGTTTCAAATATAAGGACTTATAAGCACTTATAAGGACCGCTACGAACCCTGTATAAACATTTTAATGTTGTTTAAAATTTTGTAAAAAGCCAATAAAGACAATAAATTTGTAAAAAGACATTACTTTAAGAATTTACTATCCTTTCATTGTACAACATCCTGATTCGCCGGTTCGTATCACATGACCACAAGTGATCTCATCTCGCGTTAATTACGCTACAAAAATGTAATTCTCTCAGTAATTACCTACATTAATTTCAAGTTAAATCTTAATTTGAAATACAAGTTTAAATGCCAGAATTATTACAATTCGCACGAATTGCTTACTCATAAATTATGTAAATCCGCAGTACTTTATTTCGCTAGTGCATTCTAATTTAACTCTTGACTTTGCCTTTTCTATATTTTCGCCATCAGATGAGTAGTGTGATTGCATCCTAATTGACTTAATTACTGCCCGTGAATGGCCTTAGGGCATAAAACTCAACTATTTGGTAAAAATGTTATGTAATTGTAAGCCAGTATTGAAAGAAACAATCAATCTGATAAGAAATGGCTGCGACTTGTTTTGAAAATGCAAAAGTTAAAGTAAAAGGTTACCAGCGAGGATATTTCGTTTGGCATCAGTTGTACCATTACTGGTGACTTTATCGCTTGCGCTGGCAAAACGGAAAAGTGCCAGAAATTATTTAAAAATTGTAATTCAGAAGCTTTTACCTGCTAGCAGTTGTATGAAGAATTTGTAACCAAAAGATTGTATTCAAATTATCTAGCTCTGTAAACTAAAAAAAAAAAAATTATGTTTTAATAAGATCATGTGTTAATTTGTTAAATACTGCAAAATACATTACAATATAAAATGAAGGAAGTCTCCATATTTAACATTAAAGGACTTATTTGTCACATTTATTACAAATTTCCTCAAAGAATTTGCAGTCATTCCATACTCTTTACCTTTTACTATCTTTCGAGCTGAAGACTCATTTATTTTTTCTCTTTAAATCTTGGCATATGATGGCCCTATCATCATGACCTTTTATAGTTTCTAGCTTTTTTTGTAAATCCAATAATTTACTGATTTATCACAACTAGCATCAGGTTTCCATTTCTCATTCATTATAAATGGGTTAAGGAATGAAGTATAAATAAAAATTTTAAAAAGTGTGAATGATAAATGATCATGCAATATGGGTATCGTAGAGACTGAGGGTATAAGTTCACCCAGTGAGTCTGCCATGTCTTTCAGTGAATGCACATGTGCAGAAGACCCAGCAGCAATATTCATTTTGGAAGTACATATTTTAGTGGGAACTTTTAAGCTGCATTATTTTGGCTCAAATCTTTCCAAACCATACAACAGTGAATCTACTTAAATTACTAACCATACTATATTGGGGTACACATTGACTAAAGCCAAATTAAGCAAAGTATTCCTGAATAGAGACCAAGAGCATATTCTTATAAAGGGGTTAAAATTTCAAAAAAAAAAAAAAAAAATATTCTATAAAAAAAATCTTATGTGTACACCACATGACTTCCTTGTACGGAATATTAAATTATACACATTTTTTCTTGCATTTTGTTTAAACTTATTAGATTTAATTATATCTACTTCGCCGACAGCGCATAAACCACAATAGAATAAGTGTATTCTTTAAAATTCACTGTATTTGTTTACCATAGCGACACTCTGGCACTAGGTTCACTTAACAGTATTACATTTCGTTCGTATTATAACTCAGAATGCACAAAATTTGTATCATTTAAAGAATTAAAAAGTAAATCTTAAACACTTATTTCCTCGAAAAAATTACAGAAAGGATTAAGCATGATTTAAATCACAATAATTAATGAAGGTCTTTATCTTTGTTGTTGTGAAGCTGCGTTTCTCTAGATTGGCAACAAATCCACTACTCCGCTTTTTTCAAATATAAACAAGCAATGGCTGCCATCAAAATAGGCTTAGCGGCACTTAAACAACTTTTAAATTGTTGATAATTCTAAAAATAGTGCCTACAGATTTACTAAAGGCATAAAACCCTTAACCGGAAGATAAGAACGACATAATTCAATCATTTTTAAAGCAAAAAATGTACAATTTACAAACATATCAAGAAACTGAGATCACTGAGCCGGGTAACAGAGTGGATATATTTATAAATGTTTGGCGCAGCCGATTGAAACCAAAATACGAGGTGCACATCTACATGTTATAGTAGTCCTATATACAAAATTTCAACGTTCTGAGGCTACTCGTTTTTGAGTTATGCGAGATACGTTCGTACAGACGCCACGAAAAATTCTCTTCAGAATTCATTTTAAAGCAGTTTTTAAGGTTTTTTTTTTTTTTTTTTTTTTTTTTTTTTTTGAGTAAAAGAGTCTTTTATTCTGTCCTTACGTACAGATATCATGCAAAAACATCGTTAAATTACCCTAATTTCCGGAAGAAAGGCCGCATCAGTGTAAACGCCGCACTTGAGAAAAATGGCGGGAAAAAATATAAAATCTACACAGAAACGTCGCAATAGATTAAATTGCGCATGACATCGTCGTGGGCCGTATAGATGCAAAAACTCAAGCTAAGTCCTGATATATGACATACAAGTTAAGAAAAATGCATGAAAATGAAACCGTAACTCAAAAATAAATTAAAGGTAAGAAATGTATAGCTTCTGTGCCGTTTAGAGACATTTTCAAAAATTTTCCATTCCCTAATTAAAAACTATCCAACAAGTACTTGTACCCGAACTGGCCAGAGCCAGAGTTCGTTATTTCGAGGCAGGTGGAGTCGTGTCCGCCTTTGAAAAAAATTGCAGAAAAGGCAGGGGTGGGGAGAGGATGGGTCCTGGAAGATTCATGGAATGGCAGAGGAGAGAGACTATTAAAACTGATGAGAATGTTGATTTGAAAGGGGGAAGAATGTTATTGTTCTGAGTAGGGTGAATAAGGCATGTAGGTCCCTTCAAGGGAAAGAATGTAAACAAAATAACGTTCGCAAAAAGCAACTGAGTGGTCTTTTGTGTGGGAACAGCACCAGTCTATGCACAATGAGAAGGCCATCCAAACTATGTACAATGACCATCATAGGAAATATTTTATTTTTAGTGCACCTAATGCCGCACCCGCTGAAAATTTAAGTTTTAAACACGTAAACGCCGCGGCGTTTCTTTCGGAAATTACAGTACATTCGAAAGCGGTCAAAGTGGATATTTTCATTGAAATATGCTGCATGAAGCTTTTCGCGATTACAATACTTCCTTTTTACTTCGTACAAGGAAGTAAAACAGAGAAAGAAAACTCTTTAATTTCTGATAGTTTAAAAACTTTATTAAATTTTACCTTTGGAGATGGAACATTTGGCATAAGCAATCATTAATGTTTCATTGTTAATGCAGTTTGACCATATACAAAAAAATTTAACTTATCAAACATCAGTATTAAATAATCAAATACTGCAGCTCTTGAAGCATAAATAGTACTTTTAGACAGAAAAACTAAACACAAAGCTCTTTTTCTTATGCAGTTTATATATTCCAGGTCCAGCAAAAAATTACAAGTCAATGAAATCAACATTTTCCCAGAAAGATAATATATAAATACCCTATACACAGATTTATTACAATAAATAATTTTTAATAGACTAATACTTACCCACAGCCTTTGAATTTTCCATTGTCATCTTCAAATAATTCAACAAAAGCCACATCTCCCACTACACGAAAATGTAGGTTATTAGAGAATGCAATTATTTCACAAATTCAAGTAACACACACAAACAAAAAAAACAAAAAAAAAAAAAAAAAAATTAAGTAAGCATGCACTCAAGTATAGTGCGAGGAGCAAGTCTAATCTGCTTATTTCATTGTTCGATAAAAAATTTGTCCTGGTAGCCTAGCTTAATTTTTTGGTAGACAGGTTCAATGTATTCTCTATTCTTGACTGCTGCTATTTTTTTAAAACATCACCTTTATAATCTGCATTTTTTACTTCCTTGTACGAAATAAAGTACTTTTTACTTCCCTGTAGGACATGAAGAAAACTGGAATTTTACATATGGGACTGTTTTAACATTATTTTCTGGCTTAAATTAAAATGAATTTTAAAAAATTAATGACGAGTTATTTTTATTTATGAACTGTACACTTTAATAAATAGTTATTTTCGATTTTATTGGCCTATTAATAAATAAGGGAGGAGGCTGGATGTGATATTTGTCAATAGTGATTAAACTGATTCATTTAGTTACAAATCTCACTGGTAAGCAGCAAGAACTTCTAAAATTGATGCCATTCTTAAGACGTGAGCAGGAAAAGCAGCAATCATTGATCAAGTAATGCAATAAGGAAGTACATATTTGATGATAAAGAGGTTTTTAGATTTAAGAACTTTTTAAGAAGATGATAACCCTAATGTTTCACTAACAGAAAGAATGTAAAATGATCTTGCAGAATTGGAAACTCTTCTTTTTTTCCATATACAGCCATAAAAAGCTGCAATCTAAAAAATTGACGGGAGGTGAGAAAGGTATGTTTGCTCTTTCTCAAATAGAGGGTTTATTGCAGAAAGAATAATTTCTTCAATGAAGAAAAGAGAAACTAATTTGCTAGACAATGAGATCTTGCTGGGTTCAATTTATGGAGATCTGAAACATTGAATTTTCTCGGATGACAATCAAATTATAAAGGCAAAGAAAGTCATCTATGAATTTTCATGAATGAAATTATTCTGACAATGAAAAGAATGAAATTATTCTGAGAGAATGAGAATTCTGAGAACTCCTGCCTGGAGAATTCGAAATCAAGACAATAAACCGCAGACATTGCAAATGCGTCCCCATCATCCTTTTCCATTGATAAATTAGAATTTGAGAAATATTTTTGGATAATATTGAAAAGGCTAAGGCAAAGCGAATGAAAATAAAACAAGAGCCGTTAGATATAAAAATGAAAAAATACAAACAAGATTTTTACACGATCTTTGAAGACATAGAGAAATATGATTGCACTTGCAAGACGCCTCATTTAGAACTTACAAAAATCTATCCTGAAAAGTTAAAAGTTGCCCTAACAGTAAGAGCTCTTCCTCCTACTCGAGTCAATGTACGAAGATTCTTCTCACCTCTGAAGTTTATCAAATCGGATCTATGGCCCTCCAAAAAAGAAAATCTTGCCGAAGCTATACTGTTTCTTAATGACTAATGCCAGTTTTTCAATTTCATAACAAATGCTAATTAATATAAATAATTTGCTATGCCATCAATTTTTTCTATAGCATCTATTACTTCTTTTATATTAAAAAAAATAAGCTATCAGCAGCTGAGGATGATAGTTCGGTTCACGAAATTTAACAAGTAGCCTCCGAAAAAAAAAATTACAAAACAGTGGTCTTCATAAGGAAAATCTAGCTGATCTTGTACCCGAATATCTATTTCAGCCTGAAATTAAACATAACAGCAAGATTTCACAGAAACTTTAAACACAATTGAAGTTTATATCCTATTAGGGCAATACATCTCTGGCAATTTACTTAACAGTGCAGCATTTTGAAAAAAAGAAGGAATGTGGTTTTTTGCAGGGCAACAAAAATCTGAAAAAAGAAATAAAGTATTGGAAGATATAAGTATAGTTTTTCAACTGGTTTACAATAATAGAATTACTTAGAAATTTATTTCAATCATGATACTAACATTTACATTACTTGTTTATGATAATTTTTATTTGTGTTTGCTTAAAACATCATGCTTTTCTACTAGCCTAACTTTCATTGTATTAAATATTATGTTTAACCAGCTAGTTTTTGCTTGTATATGCTCAATACCCTGCTTTTCTGCTAACCTGAATTTAATTATACAAATCATCACATTTAACAAGCACTAAATATCATGTTTAAAATGCTAAATTTAATTAATATATGCTCTATATCATGTTTCATTTCAAATCTTAACCGTATATCGCTATGTATCATTACTATTGGCAACAAAAAAGGCACTGTCACCAATCGGTTCTTTGCGGAAGGAAACCTTAATTTTAATCTGGCAGTGTTTTTTTTCATAAATATATATAAGCTGTGCAGGACCAGCCTGTACGTTGTTGTAATTTTTTGACTAATAGCAGACCGCTATTTATTTTATTATGATTTTAATTTTACATTGCTCGGAGTTGCACAGCCTTACGAATTCTTAACACCCTGATGTTTTTTCAGATGAAACGCGTCGGAAATTATTGAACAGAGCAGTTGAATTCTACTTGCAAAAAAGATGATATTTAGGAAACTATTCATGTTTTATAAAAATTTTTTTCGCATCAAACAAGAGCTTCAATGGTCTGTTTCGGCGAAACGCGTAATGGTATTTAGCCTAGTTCGTACAATCAGTCATTTTTCCCTTGAAAAGCCTGGCAGAGGGTACGAGTGGGTTAATTTACCATTTTCCGCTTTGTAATTATTGTATTTTAGCAATTTATGTTTTCATTATAATTTTTGCATTTTATGTTTTGGTATATTTTTTTCCCGTCAATCTATTTTTTATGATCTTTAAAATATGGTAACTGGTAGTTTGGCGACATTTTGGAGGCGATAAAGGGGACTACTTGGGACTTTGGTAATAATGTGAGCAGTACTCAGTTCTGATTACGCATTATTTTGTGTGAGGGAAATGAGAGATTATGGGATATGTCATGTGATATTAATGGACGAATTACGGTTCTTTAATCGGAAAAGGGGGAAATTTGGAAAAATATTTATGGCTATATATTATTTTGTATTAAGCTTCATTGTGTGTTGTGTGAAGTAGGGTTGAATAATTTTGGGATTGTATGGCGCTGTCTAAAGTGAATTTTAGATTTTTAATACGTTTGTGTGATAATTCAAAAGAATTGGTTGAATGGTGCATGAGTGTAGGTTTAATTGCGGATAAGTATGAATGCCCAAAATGTGGGAATGAAATGAGATTGTGTGAAAGGAAGGATATTACTGATAAGTTTGAATGGCGGTGCAAGAAATCTGGTGAAAATGGACATTTTGTGAAACGGAGTGTAAGGAAGAGTACGTGGTATGCTGAAAGTCGTTTGAGTATGGGTAAGATTTTATTGATTTCTTATTATTGGGTGAATAGATTGCCAGTTGACTATTGGATTTCGGATTTAGAAATTAGCAGTATGACTGCAGCTGATTGGAATTCTTTTTGTAGGGAAGTGTGCGTGGATTTTTGCAAATCCATAATAAAAGTGTATCCACCACGTAAGCAAGATTCTGAAGAAGATTAGGTAAGTTAGTATTTTTAATTATTTGAGGATATTATTTTTATGCATTGTTCTAAATGTAAGGTGGAAGTAAAGAAATTTGGTATTACTGGGAAAATTGTTATTAGCAATGATTTAGTTTAAAGTAATTAGGATTGTAAGCTAATTTTTATTAATTTAATGTATGTGCTTATTTATATTTTAAGTAGTGTTTTTGAATTTAAATATATTTTAATTAAATGATAGTTATTTTGTGAATTTTATGTCTGTAGGAATTTGGTATTGTTTTAGTTTTGAAGTAAACGTGCATTGAAATAATTTAAATATTGACACTAAGTATTTGTAATGTTTGCGGTATGCGGTATGATTTGTTGGTGATGTTTATAATATAGATAGATAATTTAGAGGTAAAAGTTTTTGGATATTTTATTTATTTTATACGTGGAAATGTTCATATTTGGAAAGGGTATATACTTTTTCGTTATTAGGTAATTTCATATATGTTCTTTTTAAGGGGTTTAAAGATTCAGAAAATTGTCATGCATTTTCGTGAATTTTTTTTAATTTATGAGAAAAAAGCAGTGTACATGGATATGGTGAAGAGTGTGCGCAATGCCATTTTTGTGGAATTCTGGGATATTTTTTTTAAAGTAAAAATAAGTCGACGTGTACATGGTTTAGTGATATTTTAATTAAATGATAGTTATTTTGTGAATTTTATGTTTGTAGGAATTTGGTATACGTTTTAGTTGAAGTAAACGTGCATGGAAATAATTTAAATATTTGACACTAAGTATTTGTAATGTTTGCGGTATGAATTTGTTGGTGATGTTTATAATATAATAGATAATTTAGAGGTAAAAGTTTTGGATATTTTATTTATATTTATACGTGGAAATGTTCATATTTGGAAAAGGGTATACTTTTTCGTTATTAGGTAATTTAATCATATATGTTTTTTTAAGGGGTTTAAAGATTCAGAAAATTGTCATGTATTTTCGTGAAATTTTTCTAATTTATGAGAAAAAAGCAGTGTACACGGATATAGTGAAGAGTGTGCGCAATGCCATTTTTGTGGTAATTATGGGATGTTTTTTTTAAGTAAAAATAAGTCGACGTGTTACATGGTTTATGTGTATGTGTTATTTTGAAAAACGCGTAAGGAGTATGGTATTGTGCACTTTTCCCCAATTGTGCAGTGATATTTGTCATGATTAAACAGTTTTGTTAGATAAAATTTCTAGCATAAGTGTAATTCGGCTAGTAGATGTTGTTGAAGAAGAAGTGTTCAGTAGATAAAAAGAAAAGAAACATGTCTTTACACATCATGAAGACAAAATGGCGGCGGGGGAAAAAAAATAGAGGATTGCTGTAGGAGAGTTGGTCGCCAAATTTTCGCCAAAAAATCGCCAAGTTACCATAATCTAAATATCAACCTTAACTTTTGATATATATTTTTTCCGTCAATCTATTT